AATCACCAACTGCCATCAACAGTTATCAGTGGCTCTCCAAGTTCAGGGACTTCTGTCAATGTAAACTTAGATGTATATTTAGACTGTTTTTCTGCTATCGATCTTCATCAGTTAACTTCAATCATTTCTTCATGAAGCCATCAACCTGTCTGTTAGACCCGATCCCAACTAGGCTGCTTAAAGAAGTTGTTCCCTTAATTGGCACTTCTTTACTGGATATGATTAATCTTTCTTTATTATCAGGATATGTACCACAGTCCTTTAAAGTAGCTGTAATTAAACCCCTTCTTAAAAAGTCTACTCTTGACCCAGGGGTTTTAGCCAACTATAGACCGATTTCTAACCTCCCGTTCCTCTCTAAGATTCTGGAGAAAGTAGTCGCCAAAGAGTTGTGTGACTTTCTACATAACAATAGTTTATTTGAGGATTTTCAGTCAGGATTTAGAGTTCATCATAGCACAGAGACAGCTCTGGTTAAAGTTAATAATGACCTTCTGACTGCTTCTGACAATGGACTTGTCTCTGTACTTGTATTATTAGATCTTAGTGCTGCATTTGACACCATTGACCATGATATTCTTTTACAGAGACTTGAGCATCAAATTGGCATTAAAGGAACTGCCCTAACCTGGTTTAAGTCATACTTATCAGATCGTACTCAGTTTGTACATGTTAACGATGAATCCTCCATAAATACTAAAGTTAGTCATGGAGTTCCACAAGGTTCTGTACTTGGACCAATACTATTTACTTTATATATGCTCCCTTTAGGCAACATTATTAGGAATCACTCCATTAACTTTCACTGTTATGCAGATGATACGCAGTTATATCTATCAATCAAACCCAATGAAATTAATCAATTATCTAAATTACAAACATGTCTTAAGGACATAAAATCCTGGATGACCTGCAATTTTCTGATGTTAAACTCAGAAAAAACCGAAATTCTTGTTCTTGGCCCCAAAAACCTTAGAGACTCATTGTCTAAAGATATAGTCACTCTAGATGGCATTAACTTGGCCTCTAGCACCACTGTCAGGAATCTTGGAGTTCTCTTTGATCAGGATTTGTCATTTAACTCCCATATAAAGCAGACCTCTAGGACTGCCTTCTTTCATTTACGTAATATTAGAAAAATTAGACACATACTATCACAGACAGATGCAGAAAAACTAATCCATGCATTTGTTACTTCAAGGCTGGATTACTGCAACTCTTTATTATCAGGTTGCCCCAATAAGTCCATTAAAACGCTCCAATTAATTCAGAACGCTGCAGCACGAGTACTGACAGGAACTAGAAAAAGAGATCACATCTCTCCTGTACTAGCTACTCTGCATTGGCTCCCTATAAAATGTAGAATTGAATTTAAAATACTCCTCCTCACCTATAAAGCTCTTCATGGTCAGGCCCCTTCATATCTTAAAGAGCTCATAGTACCCTATTACCCCACTAGAACACTACGTTCTCTGAATGCTGGGCTACTTGTGGTTCCTATAGTCTCTAAAAGTAGAACAGGAGCCAGAGCCTTCAGTTACCAAGCTCCTCTCCTGTGGAACCGGCTTCCAGTTGTGGTTCGGGAGGCAGACACCCTCACCACTTTCAAGAGTAGGCTTAAGACATTCCTCTTTGATAAAGCTTATAGTTAGGGCTGGATCAGGTGAGTCCTGAACCATCCCTTAGTTATGCTGCTATAGGCCTAGACTATCGGGGGATTTCCCATGGTGCACTGAGCTACTCTCTTCCTCTCTCTTTCTGCACTCATTCATGTCCCTTTAATGCATGTTACTAACTCCACTTCTTCCCCGGAGTTCTTGTGCTTTCTCGTCTCGCAGGTTCTCATGGATCCTGGTGGAGCCTCCTGCCATGGTCCTGCTTGACTGCCATTGCCAATACTGTTGTTGCTGTGCACCTGTCTGTCTGTCTGTCGCTCTCTCTCTCTCTCTCTCTCTCTCTCTCTCTCACCCCAACTGGTCGAGACAGACGACCACCCACCTAGAGCCGGAGGATCTGTCCTAGGTTTCTGCCTTTTAACAGGCAGTTTTTCCTTGCCCTTGTCGCCAAGTGCTTGCTCATGGTGGTACTGTTGGGTCTCTGTAATTAATGTTAAAGAGTTCGGTCTAGACCTGCTCTATTTGAAAAGTGTCCTGAGATAACTTCTGTTATGAATTGGCGCTATACAAATAAAATTGAATTGAATTGAATTGAAATTAATATCACCTATTGTTACCTGAAAAAGTAGAATGCTATAAGCATTGCAGTTCCCAGAACAGCTCCCACTATGACTCCAGTCAAAGCTGATACTCCTAGGCCACCTGTTTGGAAGAGCAGTTATTGGTAAAAACATGTTCTTGATCATACATACTGTAATACAAATTTCAAGTCAGATTTCAGTGAGCATAAGTGATTCATTTACATGTTTTTTCCGGTATCTCCGTGAGCGCTTTGTATTTTCCTCTCAGAGTGAAATGGTCCATTCTGAAGGCAGGCAGCAGCTGAAAAGTTCCATTTTCGCCAAAGTAGTTGGCCACCACCTAAGTTAGCAATAATATGGTATTATGCAGTTGAATTTCCACAAGCACATTTACCATCTACTGCCTGTTGGGAAGATGTTAGCACCTCATTGCAATGTTGGAACTTTTCTTCTTCTTACCTCATATGTTCCTGCCTCAACATCAGTCATGGCCATCAAAGAGAAATCTCCGTTTCTGTCACCATTTTCATCCATGGACACATGGCCAGCGATTCCTGTCCCCCAGGATAAAAACAATGAAACCATAATTTAGCTCCACCTCCGAAAAAGTAGAGGAAAAAATTATCTGCCACAATAAAAGAAGATTTCAGTGACATTGCCTGAAATGGGCCAGTACTCACTGGTACCAAGTACACGGCACATCTGATTTTTGGAATTCTGCAAAGACCTGCCCTACTCTGCCTCTAATTGGCTAGTGTTTGTTGCCTCTGTTGGTTTGGTGAGTGAAAATGCTAGGGTTAAAAAAAAACGCTAGGGTCAGAGCCAATCAGAGGCAGAGTAGAGGTGGGTCTTTGAGGTATATGTGTGGGAAAAGGGTTAGGGTTATTGTGTGCTGAATTAGGGTACTGGCACCTTTTTGGTTCCAATTCAGGCAGTGAATAATATGCTTCACAAGTACTATAATGTCATTCAAGTAGCTTATACAAAGTATAATGTTGTACTGCTGTGTTCCATGTGGTAGGTCATATAAATGTAGGCAATCTGACAAATCAGTATCATTTCACTGCTCCCCACTTGATCAGCAACTGCAAATCCAGAGGGACATCGAGCCAAGCTAAAAACAACATATTTGATAACCCATTAGCTACAGTTAAGACCTACTAACGTTAGGATTGACCCACTTCCTAGCTAAAATTATCATTTAATAGTGCTACACAATTTGATAGGAGAGATGTAAATTAATTCAGAAAAAAACATCTTGGACGCATTTATTTAAGCCTGGAAGTAAAAGACTCTGCATGAAATTAAGCTTGCAATGGAACATTTACTGCCTTGCTGTCACCTGACCTTAGAAGTATTCTGGTTTTGGTTTCAATAGAAAAAAGTGGTTTGGGGATTTGTTGATCGATTCAGGTCAAAAACTTGACATTTTAGTGCAAAGTATTTGAATTCTACATATTATGCTATAAATATACATAGTGCATACTGCAATTGAATTTTGCTATTGGCTGATTTGAAGGTGATCTGTATGTGGGGGCAGCTTTCATCACAAACCAATTATTATCAACGCTAATGTTATCTGATGTCTAACAGTAGGTAATTGGTTACCATATATGTTGTAATTCCTTGAAATATGGCACGACGTCCCTCCAGATATTCATTACCCATTGTCTGTTCAGTTGCTGATCAATCAGGAAGCAATGAAATGATAACGATTTGTCAGATTTGTCAGACCTGCAACACAGAAGTATGACATTATCCTGTTGGCTGTTAAGTCCTGACCTGCAAAGCCACGTTTTGTAGCAAAGGAAATTAACCTTGAAGTTGAGTTCACCTTACTGTTAGTAAGTAAGTGATAACAATAATAACAACTTCATTTGTATACCACCTTTAACACAAGAAATGAAGTTCATAGTGCTTTACAACAAAGAAATTACATTCACTGAGTGCGCCACATGACTAAAGACAGAACGAACATAAAAACAGACTCATGTCTGGTTTGGAAGAAATGGGACTCAGGCTGGCCAAACAACGGGAAATCAGAGACACATTTTACAGACAACTGCTCCATCAACATTCCAGATCCTCCACTGGCGGACTGTGTTCCACCAGGTGAGCTTTTACCGGTTGAGCTATCAGGCCCCCCGTAGAGTGGTTCTTCTACATATCTGAGTAGATATTGCACTAATGACTTGTGAGCATTGGCAGCATAATGAGCACTGGCTGCATTGTGATCACTGGCTGCATTGTGAGCACTGGCAGTAATGACGTTCTGTCTTATAAACCTGTGACATTGTCAGCATAATTGGTGCAACTGGGCAATCAGTTGGCACACCTGATATTTACACCTCCAACTGCTCCTGATGGTGGTTTTAAAGGAAAACTGTAAGCTTGAAACCACAACAACTTTTTGGGAGTAATTCTACTCTCTTAAGTTTTGCAATGCTGTATATTATTTGTATACCATTTTCTGTTTGATCATAGTGATGTGGCAGTCATAATTGATTCAGTGTGAGCAATGCGTTTTACCTTCAAAAGTTCTGTTCCACATGCGTGAGGTAACCTCCGTTCCGTTCCTCTTACTGTATCCACTTTTCATGGCTTCATGCAAGGCAATGGCATATAGCAGCAGGGCATCATGGAATCCCTCAACAAACATGTTGACCTGAAATGGAACATATAGTCATAAAGAGAAAGTGATTCAGACAGTCCCATTGTCTACTTAAGATATATGTTCACGGCTTAAATACAATCATGCCTAGCATTGTCAGTGGGGCTCCAGGGGGAAAGACCTGCCCATGTAAGTTTCTTAACTCCTCCCAAAAGAAACTTTTTTCAAAATGTTTAAATTATTATTATTATTATTATTATTATTATTATTATTATTATTATTATTATTTTGATGTTATTATTTGAAAGATGTTTCTCTGCCACATTCAGATTAAGCTCAGATGAACCTCAGAGGAGGATACCTTCACTGGGGAAGAAATAGTGCATGGCCCCATCCCCAGAAGGAAACTTGCCAACAAATACCGACCTGTGACACTGACTTCCCATACACTCTGCATTTTAAAATTACAGTTAAACAGTTATATCCCTAACTGTAGTCCTTTTAAATGTTGAAAGCTGAACCTAAAAAGATTTCATAGGAATTTAAAAGTTACCAGATTTGAATCAATAAAATACTATTGAACCCTAATTAAATTCAATTTTAGTTGTATAGCGCCAATTCATAACAGAAGTTATCTCAGGACACTTTTCAAATAGAGCAGGTCTAGATCGAACTCTTTAAAAAATAATGCCCTACTCATTTCTGTATGTCTGTGTCCTTGAAATACATATTGCATTGAACCACACATGATGTTTTTACACTGGACTAAGGACATGTATCTGGAAAGATCCAATGTTATAATTCTTTTTATATTTTTGTGCATTTATTCCAGTGTATCCCACAGTTTTCTTTTCCAATGCAGCACAATTATAAACACATACAAATACTAACTGACTCATCAGTGCAAATCCATTACACATTAGTCAGTAATATTTCAGAAGTTCCATAACATGTGTGCAGCTGAAAAAATACTTGAGTGTGAGATATACAGACATACGTACACTTTCGCAGTCTTTGCAGTCATGAAAGCCAGCTTTTTTCATGGACTTTTTCATTTCCATGGAGAAGTTTTCAAACTCAGGCTTGACGGTCCTGAGCAGCGTCACAGTGTTCAGAGAAGCATAGGCATGTCTCGCATCGTTGTCATATTTATCTCCTCTCTTCCATGAGCCATTACCTAGAATTTAATTTAAAGGGACAGAACAAGGTAGATTTTCTAAAAGGTTTTTCTTACTGTTAAATGTTGTTTGATGAAAATAAATTTTAGAAATACTGATCCCTAAACCTTTACTGGGTGCATCTACAGTAACGTATGACTGCTGAGCTAAGTAGCATATAGTGCAGTCCTAATAAAACAGAGGGCTTTAGGGAAAAAAACATTTTAGAAAAAAAAAGAGAAATAATTTGCCAAAACAGAAAACAAAATATTTTGCTAAACCAGAGGTAGCTGTTTTGAGAAAGCAAACTAATGAACTCTGCCCAGTTTCCCTGGGAATTACATTCATTACGATTCTCTATGAATATACTGGTATCATATGAAGCTAGAAGACCTAATGCCATGCTAGCTTGTTTGGAAGGGGGCTAAATATCTCATTTCACATCATATCTACATTATATCAATATTAATGTATAATATCTGTGTGTATACATGTATATCTACAACGGAGTATTGGGGCCAGACTAAGAGAAAAAAATATTATTTTTTGGGGGGGAAATTACGAGAATAAAGTCATAATATTATGACTGTTTGTCTCAGTCGTACCGTACAGTCATCAGGTAAGCTAACGTATTCATAATTTTGTCGTTAAACAGTTTTGCAGGTTGAGCCAACAGGCTGACAGTTCTCATAAAATTACTACTTTATTCTCGTAATATTATGACTTTATTCTCGTAATATTTCCCCCAAAAAATAAATATTTTTTTGTCTTAGTCTGGCCCTAATACTAATAAATAAATCATATTATATATACATATTATTATTATTATTATTATTATTAGTATTATTATTATATACTGTTATTAACAATAACACTACCATCATATCATCAGTACTATTACCACCATCTTGCAACTACAACTTCTTTGCACCTTATCTACCTATTTATCTTTTTTAAGTATTTTATTCTATTGTATTTTACTGTATTTAAATGTAACTGGCTGCTATGACGACCCAATCTAAATAACAATCCAAAATTATTTTCAAAGAGGTCCCTTGATGTCTGACCTCATATGAATGAAGTATAAATAGAGGACAGAGATCTTGGGTCTGTGAAGTGCACTGTCTTAAACCTGCATTCTTTCTAGACAATAGACGATAGAGCAGGGTATGCTTTAGGGTGTGGCTACCTTGTGACTCATTCTCAGTGAGGCTCTGGTTCAAATATGAATGGACTGCACTGTAAATAAATAGAAAGCTTATTCATACATTAAGACTGCAGAAAACGTGTACTGATTCAGTCGGATTTTAATCATTACTACAATTTGTAAAAAAACACACATTTAAAAGTCATGTGATGGTAACTTTACCATAAGAAGAGGCATTGAAGAGTTCAACATTAAAGAACATATGACTGCCGTTGGTCAACCGCCGTCTGTGTGCAGCCAGCATGATCTCTCGTATTTTGTCCGCTCCCGTGCACATGATCACTACTGCAGAAAAATGACACAAAGACAAATGCGGTTATAGTCAGTAGCCAGAGTCAGCAGTTTGTATGAACACCATAAAATACAAATCTTAGTAACAACAATTTTCATGAGCTCATTAGGGGATCTTTTTTCATTATTTTAATCTGTTCATTACTGACATCTGGGGAAGTTAAGCCACATATGAGAAAAACCCAGCAAATAGATGTTAGATGATAATCAATGGGCAGAAACAGTGTGCACCTTTTTACTGAAAGAACATTTATAATGAAGCATAATGAAACCACAGTCTAAACAGTGACTAACTACGGCTCAGTTGTATTGTGGCAAAGCGCCTTGCAAATAAAATTCCTAATATTATTAATTCCAGTTAAAACAGGTTTTATCATGAAGAGACAATTCGCAGAACATAAGACAATAAACTATACAAGAAACTTTTACTGGAAGGGTTCGGTTATCAATTGGCATTTATCAATATCAGTATTTTTTGCAGGGGAAGAGCTGCTCGTCCTACTTTCTTCTTCAGTGTTTTGAGCGTTCGGCTAAGGATTAGCACTCACAATAGGATTAAGGACTGCAACAGTGGCGTTCCTGATAGCACCATAGGGCTAATATGGGGGATATGTGCTCAGGGCAGATAGAACAGCTGGGGGCCTGTGTATTTATGTAAACAGGCCCTGGCGCACAGACACTGCTCTCCTAACCTTGAATCTTCACCCTCTTCAGAATCAGAATCGGGTTTATTGTCAAGTAAGTTCTTACATGTAGAAGGAATTTGCCTTGGTGCATAAAAAAAAAAATAAAAAAAAAAATAAAAATCACACAAAAATAAAGTACTTTTTAAAATATAAATAAATAAAGAAAAAGATAGAAATATCTAAAACTGTACAGGAAAAATATTTACAATCTGAAGGATAGAAAAACCAACGGGACTGCATTAATGTAATGCATATATACAGGGTGGGTTTAAGAGTCAGTTAAGCATGGGTTAAGTGTAGACCTTTCTATCTGCCCAGAGAATTTACATCTACTGCTATGACTCTAGTGTGCATGCGCCGACAGTGCATGCTGCCTGTTGCAGTTGCTCCTACCCCTTATTTACTTTTTCCTAAAATATTTCCCCCCCGGGATCAATAAATTATTTCTGATTCTGATTGCAGCATATATCCTGCTACATGCTAATGGTAGACTTTCTATGAAAGAAAAAAGAAGTTTCTGCTATTAGCAAACAACAGACCTAGAAGCAGCCTTTATTGTTGCAGGGGACTTCGATCACTCTAACCCAAGTACACACCATTTATTAAACGTGTGAAACCTTCCGTGAGAACAGTTAAAGTGTAGCCAGAGGGGGCAGACTCTGTACTACAGCACCGGTTTGAACACACCTCCTCCTCTGTCCTGGACAATATCAACACCAATAGTGTCATCGCCACATGTTACCAAATCAAAAGCCGTGGATGAACAAAGAAGTCTGACTACTGCTGAAGGCAGGCAAAACTGCTTTCAGATCCGCTGACACACAGGCCTACACTTCATCCACAGACCTGAAGAGGGGCATCAAGAGGGCCAAGTACAGCCACAAGGGATGACACTTTAACAACAACTCCGACCCCCAGCGCATGTGGCAAGATATCCAGGCCTACATGACTGAAACCCACAATGCCTCCATCCCAGATGAGTTTAACAGCTTTAATTCATGCTTTTTTATTCATGTCAAGCAGGAGGTGGCCATCACAGCTTTGCTCCCTGCAGACCACCATCCCCTCACACAGACCCTGATGAAATACCCGGATCATGCTCAGGTAAATCAGTTGTGGTAAATGGTAAATGGACCTGTACTTGTATAGCGCCTTTCTAGTCTTCCGCTCAAAGCACTTTTTACACTACATGCCACATTCACCCACATCCGCCCCACATCACCATGTGCAGTTGATGGAGGTCTCACCTCCCTCTACCTATGTGCTTTAAAACCACCTGCATCATGTCAATGCCTATAAACTCCACTACAGCAAGCCTCGTCCTGGCTCATCTCCAAAGTTGCCTACCACTTGCACTGGACCCCCTCCAAATTTGTTCTTCGGGTAAACTTCTACTCTCATCCTCACCAAGTGCCTCAAAGTAAAGTATGGCAACTGCTCTGTATTGGACTGTAAAACACTGCAAATAGTCACAAAAACTATCCAAGGCATCACCGCTATTCAAGTCCCCACCACTGAGGCAGTTCAGCACAAGCTATGACACCTTTCATCCCCCGGCCACAGACTTTCTGCCCTCCTCCCATCTGGGAGCCACTACATGACTCTCCATTCCAGGACCAGCATGTTCAGGAACAGTGTCTTCCCCCAGCTGTCGCTTTGGTAAATGGTAAATGGACCTGTACTTGTATAGCGCCTTTCCAGTCTTCCGACCACTCAAAGTGCTTTTACACTACATGCCACATTCACCCTTTCACACACATTCACTCAGTGATGGCAAAGCCCATCGAACAGAAACTAATGCATTCATACACATTCATACACCGATGCACAGCAAATTTGGGGTTCAGTATCTTGCTCAAGGATACTTCGACATGTGGCAGGAGGAGCCGGGGATCTAACCAACAACCTTCCGATTAGGGGACGACCTGCTCTGCCTCTGCGCCACAGTAAGGCATTTACAACTATTGCATTTTAGTACTACAGCCAAAAAGTACTAGCTGGCTAACTTCCGTCATATGTGATATCCCCATGCTACTTCACCTTGTATCAAACACGCAACAAAATATAGCTATCCTTACTAGCTACAAGAACCTGAAATGCTTGCTAATAACTTATTTGAAGAGTCTGGACTCCGATATTAGCAGCGTTGTGTAAACAACATAAGGTTGTTTGTAATGTGTGTGGTTAGAGAGACAGAGAGAGTGAGCTGCAGAAAGTGAATGGGAGTGGAGCAGAGGTTAAAAGGTAGGCAGTGACATTGTCAGTTTGTCAGTAAATGTACAGTTTAGGTTAAAGGCTGCAGCTTCTCAAGGCTTAAGTAAAGCTTCTGTGTGTTTCCCAACAGCTGGGAAAGTGTAGGTAGTAATTGCATTAAGACAGAGAAGAACTATTTACAGACGGGTCTGTTATCTGTGTTGTGTGAGAGAGAGAGAGACATTTGCATGTCTATAAGCCCTGTGTGTGTCATGATTGTATTTCAGGCCTATGTGTGTGTGTGTAAACATTGGAATATATAAGGGGATTAATTCTTCTATTCTGAGAAGCCGCTACACCACAGTGGACACTAAGAGAGAACTGGAAGGAACCAATGGTTATGGTGGATTTAAAGTTAAAGGCCCAGTGTGTAACATTTAGGAGGATCTATTGCCAGAAATTGAACATATAACTATGTTGTAATCACCTAAAGTCATTATATTTTTATTACCTTCGAATGAGCCTTTTATATCTACAGAAGCTGCCGGTCGCTTTCCTTGGAGTCCACCATGTTGAACCGCCATGTTTCTACACTAGCCCAGAAAGGACAAAGCAAACCAATCAATGGCACTGGATAAGGGCGTTTTTGTGGCCACCAAAGTTTCTTCTTCAAGCTTGGAAGGGAAGGGTGAAGCAAGGGAGTTACAGTGTGTAACTACACTACTAGATGCCACTAAATCCTACATACTGGACCTTTAAAAGGAGGAATACATTTTAATTGGCATGTGATTCCTCAGCACTGTCTCCAACATGCCTGTTGAACATTATTAATCATAACCAACCAAGTTTGATGTGCACAAACTTTAATTTGCAACAGTCTGGTGCCAGTTACACAAAATGAAACCAGTGGATCTGTAGTGTGTGATCCTGCTTTCCAGTGCAGGTCACTCTGATTAGAGGCTGCAGATGAAACATGTTTGCAAGAATTACACATTAATCTTAATCCTGTCTCGCTGACATAATCGCATATGCAGATTTAAACTGTGTATTTTCTGTGTGATTACATGTCAGTTGGTTCAAGAATGTAGAATGAAAGTGGAACCATCAAACAACACATGAATAAAGGGGTTTATATTACTTTATAAAGGGGTACGTGTTTATGAGTGCTTTCATCAAATAAAGTGACCAAAAACTTTAGAACACAAAACCAAAAACCCAACATCATCCATAACAGACTTGTATAAATTTGCCCTTTATCCATATGACTCCGACACAGTTCCATTTAATTTTGATGTAATCTGCAAGATGGGTTTATTCAACTCTGATTAGTTAGATTCACAGATAAGACAGGCTAATATCTGCTACTGCTCACATTCAAGGGTTATGCAGACAAAACGACTGACAGTGAGGGATAAGGGGTACAGCGCTAATACCCTCGATAGTTAGAATTCCCCCTTTATCTAGCCACATGCCTGTAGATCTCAGGCACAGGGAGCAGTACTGTGATAACTGCCAGCTGTGTTACCAGTGATAGAAATCCAGTAGTGTGGCTATTCTGATTTGGAGCTCTATTTGTTTTAAACTAAACTTTTAATCATTTAATGTAATGCAGTGCAAAGAGTTTGCCAAATAATCTAAAATGTAAACATTTCAGTCAATGGGTTGATATAAACTTTTCCTGGTGTCCCAGGGATTAAAAATAAATAAACCAACAAACAAGTAGCAACACAAACAAGGGTTGCAATTGAAAACACAGTAACCCCATCTTCCCTGTTAATAAGGAAGATTCAGAGCCTTGCTGGAACATTCCTCACAACTCTGTCACTTAAACACACCTCCTGAAATATCCCTTGAGTCAGTGGGACAAACTTCACCTCAGTACTGCCAGCACTATAGCACCCTTTAATTACACTGGGCTCTACACACACTACTGGCCCTGTGTATGCTCTGCAAGCCATTCCATGGGGCAGCGCTTGCAGCCAGCAATATTTCAAAACTTCTGGATTTTCGTTTTTGCTACTGATACTAGTTACAAATTAACTCAGGAATGGGGCAGCACATGGGTGCCCACAGTGTATTTCAAGTGCCCTGTGTGCCGTGAACTTGTAAAATTAG